GCTCATTTAAATTATATTAATTTATTTATTCACATGTAGGTTTAGCAATAAAATCGACTTGATCTAGTGGGTAATTTATTTGACTACATATTTGAATTTTCAAATAAGCCGCTTTATGCAGTCAGTAAGTAAAAAGTCATTTGTGATTCAGTTATAATTAAAATTGCACAATGAAACCTCAAATGTTGAGTGAAATTTGAGAAATGCAACTCCTGACTCTGCTCTGCCCAACTAAACCCTTTTAAAACCGAGCACTAACAACTTGAATTTAAGCATTAAATTTAACGGAAATTAGTGATAGAGAGAAATATATTTTTTTATCATACATCGATTCGTTTTCACGCAGGCATAATCCAATAGTAATGGTCGAAAACATCACCGCAGTATCCACAATGAGTTCATCAGAGTCACGATGAAACATCGGCACTGGAATTAGAATTCACTAAATTCTGAGCATAGAGGTATAATCACCGATTAAGTTTTGGATTTCATTAGATTTAGACGTGAATTTGAGCACAGTTTTTAATTTGAATTTTAAAATATTTCGTTATTCGGAAGGTTCAATCTCGAGTTGTTAGTAAATCATATGAAAGACTTGGTATGATGTCATTTCGGTAGTGATTACTTTGAAAATCGTTTCAATTATTAGGCTTCCCGGAATATAGAGTACACTTTAATTGTAGGCTAATATTTTGCATATGCAATATGGTTAGATTTAAAAAATAGTACTTATAACAAATTAGTGGTTGTGTGATATTTCAAGTTCATAGCAAAGTGGTTTGATCATTGGATTTGGAAATCCAAAAGATTTGCTTCAGAGATGAGAAGAAAAATTAATCTTTTGGTTCAATCTACAACAGTTCACTTAATCATTTACGATTTGTTAACATAATGAGATGTATCTAACTATTGAGTGTCAGTTTAATTTCAGCTTTGGCTGGAAAAGCTGAAATTTCGAATGATTTTCACCTAATAAATTGAACGTCTACCTATAAATACCGCATTGAACAAGACAAAAATAGAAATAATATGTTAATATTACTCTTTTTCGTATGCTTAATAGATATAGCAATTAAATGCACTTGAGATGGTGTTAATGAAGTATTTAAGAAAATTTTCTTTTTCGTCTTAGTTAACCTTATCCTAATGTTCGAGTTTTGAAAATAAGCTTTTTACACAAAGAAATATGAGCTCAATATTGTCAAAGTGGATCAAATTAGAAAAAAACGCATCTTAATAAAATTAAATTCAATTATCACTATGAATTTCAATTAGACACTCTGCCCATATTAGTATAGACCAATACTGTAGAAGAGTTCTTTAAGAACAATTTAATTATAATTTTGTTGGGTGTTCTGTATTAATAGAATGCACACCAAATGAAATTATTTTTCCTATTTGCGCAAACCAAAAGTTTTGTGACATTTAGTGTTATTATGTTAAATTTAAATAAATGTATTTGAAGTAAATTAAATTCTAAAGGCCTTGCATTTAAGTAATATAGTCCATTTCAAATTAATTATTTAAAATAGGCATTTTTTTATACAAAAGATTGCTATTTGTATTCTTTTAAGAGTGCACATTTTTTTAGAAAATTATGTAAGAACTGCAGCTGATTTGCTTTAATATGGGCTATTTTTAGCCAAAACAAATGCATCTTGGCAAAATAAATCAGTGCAATAAATCTTGTAAGTTTGATAGAATGAAAAAAATTAATTCGAATATTACTAATTTGACTAAGTAGGTTGTCTGAACTTTTTCAGCTTTTTTTACGCTGAACTTGCAAGAAAATTAAGTAGAAACAATTAAGGCCATTATAATTTTAATAGCAAATTATTTGGGATTTCACTCTTTTTAATTGAATAACTTCGAATTTTAAAAGGCACTTGCGCTTTGGATTGATGCGTGCTCATATACACGCAAAGTACTCAGAACAAAAGGATTATCTTTTGTTTTGATTACGAATTTAATAATAGTAGTCTAAATCCAAACCAATTAGAAAATAGCAAATGATGTTATTTCACTGCAGGAATGTTGTTCCTTCAGGTTTAAACAAAAATCGATGGAATTTTGAGATGTTTGGGAGTGAGCAAGTTGCCTATTTTATTTTTCGCTTGTTCCAATAGCATGTTCATTGGAAAACCGCGATCCTAAATGAAATATTCATTTCTAATACATGAATTAACATTTAATGAATACTTCATTTAGCCTAAAAATTTGTATAATTTTAAATGAGATTGTGGAGTAACATTAGGTTTACTAACCGGAAGCATGCTAATAAAGTCTTACTTTAAATCGTTTTAAATGAATTTATTTATTATGTCCTATAATCAAACGATTAAATAGTGACTGGAATTGATTTTTGGATTGGCTTATACAATCGATAATGTATAAGCAAATAAAATATATTAGTATTCATATTGCAATGAGCATTAAACCCAACTCCTCGTGAAAATTTTGAAAATAAGACTAACGTTTAATTTTATTAATAAAACTAGCATAAAACTGTGTGTGACAGGACTGCTATTAAGATGATTGAAAGATCTGTTTAGTTTCCTATCTCCGAATCAATGAATTGAGATTGACAAAGGCAATAAGCCTAATTTTTACGATTAACTTGAAAAAAAAACTTTCAACTACAAACTTCAGTCAAGATTTTTTATTTCAAAGAGTAGGCTTTATGATATATATCATTAGCTCTTAGAGTTGAATTCGGCTTTTATAATAGATAAGGGAACATATATTTTGAATTCTGGACGTTTAGCAGTAGTTCATTAGTTGACTTCTAGCCTCCCAGTATCTTCGAGTTCTGACGTTTTCTTTAGGGGTTGAATACCAAATCATGTGGGTTACCTCCGTTTCCTCCCCTAGGTCACATGAAGAGCATGTTGGTCGAGTATATATACCTATTTTCTGAAGGTGCTTTGTCAGGCAATCATGGCAGATATGAAGTTCATACTCATTTACAGCTTCGATTATTGACCAGCCGGCTATGTCGGAGAGTGTCACTTCCCACTGCTTCTCCTTCGTTTGAGCTTTAAGTTAGTTGTACCTTAAAGTCTCGAATTCTCTTTTTACAAAGGTTTTCATTTACATCAAGTAAGGAATTTCATATGATCTGTCTCACAGTCTGGAATTTTCCAGAAATAAATTTCACTTGCTCAACTTCCAAAGTCCATAGCCTAATTTTCTAGCACATGATGAATATAATGGAAATAGTATCGCTTAATTTTTTTCAAATATTTGTAAAAATTACATCAGCGTTAATGAGGTTCAACCTTTTCAGGGGCCAATTAGTTGGCCCAGTTAGCTTTAACGATGGTATTCAATTTTGATTTGTCCGAGCAAAAAACATGGGGGAGAGGGGAACGTTTCATCTAATCGTTTAACTTGATTTACAATAAAAGTTACAGCCATCTTTGCATTCACGAATATGACGGAGCCAATTAATGATTCGAAAATATTTTAACTTGAAAAATGCTTGCTTCGACCTGCAAGTAAGGCCACACAATTTATGTCGAAGTAAAACCGTAGGCAATATTAATTGAAATACTTCAAATAAGCTTAATCGCATTATACTGAAAGGATTTTGGAGATGAATATTAAAAAGGATAGGAAATGTTGTGCCTAATTATATTAATTGCAGTTTTTCAAAGAAACCTAAACTATTTGAAAAAAAGTGTTGCATCCGAATTGACAATTAGTAATCATTTCCAAATTTCTTGTTACTTTTCAAATTTTCCTTAAGACTATCTTAATTTCTCATCAAAAGCAAAACTAATGATTGGGATTCGAGCAATAATAATTGCAATCACAAACTTATCCTTATTTTCTCTAAAATACTCAGATTATGAGTCCCCGCTCTTAACAGAATCGCAGAGAAGAGGCAGCGTATCAGACTATTTTCTAGAGTAGAAATAGTTCTACTATAAAATGATCTGTGAAAGAGCTTCACAAGTGGCTGGTTTTGAAAGCTGAAATAGTTTGCAGCAAATGGACGCGCTGATTTACAAATTGTTGCACTTAGAAGACTCGTATGTTAGTACTTAACTTCCCATCAAAATATTTCACTAATTCTTGTATGACTTTGGAAAAACTGAATCTTGTTGCTTTCGGAATTTGCTTGAATTTCGAATTCCTCGGCTCATTAGAGAAGAATGTGGCAAATTAACGCATCGGAATTAAAACGTTAACTAGAAAGTCACTTGTTGCTTTTTCTGCCAAAGTGGCATATTTCGATTTTGATTCATGAATCAAGTTCAATTTTCATGTCATATTATCTCTGTTTAATGGTTGCTTCATTACGGATGATGGTTGTTCTCGCAGCTTACATTATTTTATTTCTTTACCGGAAAAATCAAAGAAAAACCAAAGCGATATTCAAGTTGATATAATTTTTTTTCCCTTTAAGCTAGGATTTAATTAATGGCGCCTCATTCCAACAAATCAAACTATTCAGTCAAATGCATTTATCAAATACATTTACACGATCGAAATAAAGAGCAAAAGAGATCCATACATTGAAACATAAAAGTTTATTTTACTAGTTTTCTATTTTAACGTTTCACCAAACTTGCACGAAATTAGCAGGTCAAAAATAGTCAAGAAAAATATTTGCACACACTTCCAAATTAGAAACAGGTTTAATGAATTTTGCGTCCATTCCATTCATTTTTCGCCCATCTGATCAACAAAAGACCTCCTATTTATTGCCAAAGCCATTCTTATTTTATAAATATATTTTTTTCGAACATAGTTTAATGACTTGGTATACGCAATTATTTTTTGCTCAAATTGCTATTGTATGGTTACTTTTTCGATTTTATTTTTAAGTTTAATGTATTTTTTTCATGAAGTTGACCAATCAATCTCAATCGTTATCAAAACTGCCACAAATGAGTGCAGTCAAAATAACTTTATGGCGTTTCAGTGGGTATAAATGTGGTTCATGAAATGTGTGGTGGAAAATTAAAGTTCTCACTTTCCGTTGTTGTAACGCCATGAAGGTTATATGCAGTTGGCTTTTTATCGTGATATTTCTACTTGCTAATGGCATTGATCAAATAAATGCAGAATGGGAGTGGCGTTTACCAGATGACGGCAATCAAGGGGGTCCCAGTGGGGGTGGTTTTATGCCTGCGGAAAAAGTGGACAACGGGCCATCTGCAGGCGGCCCCTATCCTCCTCAACCCAGAATTAGGGACCAGTACCCTTAACAAGGCTACCTGGAGAGTAGCCATGATAGCGGAAAAAATCTGTCTCATTCATACTACAATAGAAATGACTTTTTATTGTGTTTTTACATATTTAACTTTACATGGAAATTTTAAAACTTACAATTAAATAAATCGGTTTTCTTTCAAATTAAATATAATATTTTGGTGTTAATTATTTTTTTTATTGTTAAGAGATTTATAAAGATTATAGCGCAAATTTTTTCATATAATTGTTGGACGAATTTTGGTTGATTGATAGAGGACTTGATAAACCGTCTTAGTACTTCCATTCAAAGTATCCTGGACATTAATTTGAAAAATAGGCGGTGAAGTAAAATTTTGAGAAACCATTCGTACCTAAAGTAATAAAATCTGTTTTGGGTCTCCGCCTTGCAGTATAGTTAGTAAGTCGTAAAAGGCACACTTGGTGGCAAAATGGGCTAGTAAATAAAGATGCCTATTCGATAGTTCTGGAAATCTGACAGGATTCATTTCTAAAAATTTCAATTTTATAGTTCGTAACGTTTGAAACGCAGGTTAAGTGAGAACAGACGGACAGTGGAGTTCATATATGAATTCAATGCTCCCGCATTATAGAAGGTATAAAATTCATCCAAAAATACAGTTCTCATTGGGAAGGTTAATTTTATTTCTAAATTTATACATGGTTTTAATTAAATTTTCATTTGTAAGATATTAATATCTCGACATTCGAAGATGTACATTAGTAGCTCAAGTTTGTTAGAATATCTGCTAAAAACAAAGATTTAATTAATAACATCTTAGTGTGATCGATTCAAATCAGTCCAATTAAAGCAAATAATTTGCAAGTGGGTATAAGCTCGTAAATAACTTCTTATATATTTGAATTTTACAGTTGGTGTTAATACATTTGAATTTTGCTATTAAATATTTCAATTTTTAAATTCTTAATGCAATATTTTATTATAGGTACAATGTTACATGAATATCTATTGTTATATAATTGTTTTACTTATGACAAGTAAAAAAAATAAATGATTTTTTTTTGAAATTATCTACTTTGAATTTATCCCTCTTGATGTAATTATTTTGGGATGAAAAAAGATATTAAGCTTTCAATCATCTGCATAACAGTTCTCTCAATGAATTAACTTCATTAATAAACACCCTATGCTTTATTTAGAACATTAGCTATTGCTGATGCTCATGCATATCTAGTTTTAGAAAATATTATGACCAGCTGTGCTTAATCTATTCCTCTGACTAAGTAAATTATCTTGCGTTCAATAAATTTAAAGTTGCTGGTTAATTCGAAAATTTGTTAAATCGTTTATAAATTAATGGAAAAACTTCAATTATTCAGGTCAAAAGTTGGGAAGGCAGCATGCAAACGCCAACGGGACCTCTAAAATTGTAAACGGTTAGCGATTCCAAATTGCCTAACCAATCAGATCAAATGCACAATAATTGAAAAGCCATTTCAGTTGACATTAGGGGCAGCGAGAATTTTATTCCTTATCAAATGACGCAAGATACTAAATTTTTAATGTACGTGGCATGGAAACGAGCTAATTCTTATTAAAAATGATGAGCTGTCTAGAGGCCTCGTGGTAATTTAAGTAGTATTCACGATAATTGCTTGACTCTTTAGTAGCATGGGTTTTTGAAAAACATGGAGTTTGACTTTTAGGCAAAACGTGCAAGATTTAAGTTATTAAATGTAGTTTAATAGTTGCATATATATATATATATATACATATGCATATATTCAATATATATATATATATATATATATATATATATATATATTGAATATTTTTTGCATGAATGAAGCACAGAAACGCCTTTTTAGTTAAAATTATTCTTCGAATACGTGCGCATTAGGTTGAATATTTATTTATTTCAAATGGCAGGCGTTTTGATAGCTATTATTAGCCATTTAGCAGCCTTCGGGCTTTACAGATGGAAGGTTTATCAAGTAGAAGAAAGTCGACTGGTGGGAAACAGAAGAGCGATTCACAGATGTAAAGGAAGCAGACAGACACAAAGGTGGAGAAAAAGGTAAGTTGAGTATTGTGGAAGGGGTCCAATATGACAAGCAATCGTGCCATGGTAGGTTGAAGTCAGAAGTCAACTGCCGGCTAATAGACTTTTTGCCGTATGAGTATACGCTGCCCAGGTTGCACCACTTGGAGGTAAGTCTATCGCGCACCCCAGGTTGAATATATAAGTGAATTGACTATTTTCAGTGTATTCCTTTCCATAAGGAGAAAAGATCCTTAATATATATTGTAGTACAAGTACATCAATAAGAAAGTTGAATTACTAGATTACTTATGGCACCGATAAATCGTTGGTCTGATTGCAATCTCTCGAATTTCGCTTATGTCATTGAATGCGTAATATTTCCATCTATAAATTCCATTTTATTCATTGAAAATATGCGAATACTGTTGGCATCACTCATCAGACCTTTTACCAAGTTTTCTACCGCGAATTCCATGAGCTAAATTTTGAAGTTCCGCAATACTTGCACGAGACCAAATAGTCAAATTTTTAAGCACCTGTTCTTTAAATTGCATAGTTCGAAAAAGATGTTAAACATAGTTAAATACAGCAATTTTCGACACTCAATATTGAAACTTTTCATTATATTGATTTTCTAATATTTCATTTAATATTTTGGAAAACCATGTGATTATCAGTTCTCTCCAAACTTTTTGCCCCTGCTATACACTTTGTCCGGTTGTCATTTATAAAATACAACGTCATTTCCAAGTCATTATTTAAATCCAATCGATCGGAGTATAACAGACATTTTAAATTAAATTGTACTTTTAATACTGTCTAAATCTTTAAGTTGAAATTTTAATTTACGATTCAAGTATGTGAAATGATATAAGAGGAAAGCTATACTTATTATTAATTGGCTGTTAACTAACATTTCTTATTTGGATTGAATTAAATTAATTCATTTTTTTTCATTTTGATGAAAAGATACATAAACGGAAAACAAAATCAATCCTTCAATTACATTTATAGCAGTTCTGACATTCCATATTTCATTAACAAAGTGATAAAATATATTCAAAAACTAATATAATTCTTATATATGAAACCAAGTTTATCTTTATTTATTGGCAACATTTTTAAGTTTTATCTATTTTCTTGTACATTTTATCATATTAATCGGCCTATGCAAAATTCTGTATTTATTATATTTTGATTGTTGGATGAAATATCAAGTTGAAATTTGAAAAGGTGGCCTACTGATTATTTCATTAACGTAAAAACATCGAAACTGCAACATGGTGCACCTTTCAATCGTCTTTATAGGTGTTATGTCAATCAATGTAATGATAAGTTTGAATGAAATAAAACCAGTGATAAATGAACTTTAATTTGCATAAGAAATAATTCAAATGTTTATATGTCTATCATTGCTCGAAATTGCAAAGATAAGAGACGTTTTTGGATGCTATAAAAGATAAATTCGAATGTTGTATTTAATTGACGCTCAAATATTGAATGAAATAGATGACAAAAGTTTTACCATTATTACTGTTTCGTTATATATAGATATAACAATATCTTTAATTTAAGATGATTTATTATGACAAATGATTAATTTTGATTGTTTCACTTTTCTAAAGACATTTAATTTTTCATGAATATTATGAGAAATGTTAATTCCATATGATAACATGTGATGCCGCATAATATTCATCACCTCGGTGTTTGCACCCTTAGCAAAATCGATTCCTTTTGATGACACTCAAAACAAGTTCTCTATTTGAAATAAATATTTCGCAAAAATTTCAGGTATGAAACAAACCACTGATGCTTTCCGCATATTAATGATTCGAAGATATCGTCTGTGTCGATTGAAGCAGGGAATTTTTGTTTCATGGTGTGTTGGGACAATAGTTGCTTAGTCAAGTGTTATTGTTGGGAACTTAAATATAATCAAGTTATTTAAATGTAAAGAACGCAAAAATCTCAAAATACTTAATTGATTCTGACTATAAAGACGCAATATTTAATCATCTCGGTTGACTTATTAAGCATTAATTGTTTTTAATTTGCAAAATGGCCAAATTTATATACGTGAAAGTTTGCATGAATGACACACTACTTTAATTTATATAAGTAGTTGCGTGAATGCCAAGTTTAAATTATAACGGTTAAATTATTGCCCTTGAAAGTCTCGAAACATTGCTTCAGTAACACGATATAAATAAATATTTCAATCTATTTTATGGCAGTTTACTCAATAGTTTTACTTTGACGATGTAATAAGATATATACATCAAACGTTTATTTCCTAATATAAATATAAATGAGACTAATATATATGTAAAAGGTGGCAACTATTCATTTTTAATTTCAACTTTGCCCTTATGAATTTAATTTTTTAAATCTTTTTATCAAATAACTGATACGTCTGTTTATTAGTCACTCGCTTTTTACGTGTCAACCCTCGAGAAGCATGTAGTGGCTTCAGTCGGTATTCTATCGGTTAATTAAAAGGCACGTTAATTAGCTTTAATTTTTATTATATTAATTAAGGATTTAATAAAATTCAACATCACTAGCCACTTGAAATGTAAAATTAAAATTTCTTGCTCATGATGAAATGTGAGCTTTATCTAGATACAATGAAAATAATATTGTCATATCGGGTTTTTGGAAAATACAATTTCTTCATCTCGGTTTTGCAATGGACATTCTATCTCAATTATCCGTTTTATTCACTAACACCTATCATAGCTTGTGAATATCGGCTACGGCATATATCAGTGGGCATTTGTAGTTGTTCTGCTCGTTGAAGTTATATCTTTTGATCTTGATTTCTAAATCAACTCGATCGCAATATTTGAACCAAATTTTTACAAAAACACCAACTCTACCACACACCCAGTAAGGACTCATCGTAAGTGAAGGCAGGTTTGCTAATCAGAGGTTATGAGGTGGACGCAATAAGACGTGATTTGTTGGTGGAAGAGCACGAATGTTTT